CGGAGATCACGCGGTTCCGCCAGCTGCTCGCCGAGGTCTACAACCACCAGAAGCCGCACAAGGACATCGACGTGCTCAGCGGGAAGCTTCCCGTCGAGATCTACAGCGATAGCAAGGGTCTCGTCACGCACGTCAAGTCGGACGTGGGCCAGTCCTCGGACAAGCGGTGTAGGATCGTCGCCTCCATGATCAAGGAGACCGTGCGCCCGAACAGCGCCCTTCACCTCGCGTGGATCCCGACCTGGGCCATGGTCGCGGACGCCCTCGCCAAGGCGGTGGATGCTGGGGTGTTGCTATCCTTCGTCGGTGCCCGCAAGCACAATTACGGGGCCCGGCAGCCGCATGTCGCCAAATTCGCGTCAGTACTAATTACGCGCATCAATCGCGTCAAGGGCGAACCTGCTCTTATGGCGCCTCCCGATGGCGCGGGATACTTGTGGTATTTCCAGGGGCTGTTGAGGATGTTCATGATTGGCATCTTCATTGGCATTGGTGTGCTCGCCGCGATCATCCGCATCCTGCGCGCCCGCGGCTGCCCGCCGAACGTCGCGACGGAAGAGAAGGAGAGACCCGAAGCCTGTCAGAGCTCCGGGCGCAGTACCCCCCAGGATGGGATGGGCGGCATCTTGGAAGGGCAAATCACCGGGAGGCATCATCGACGGCGTCATCCGCATCGAGGCCTACGCGACCAACGCCGAGCCAGACGTCGCAAGGGCAGAGCGCGGCGGCCGCTGCGTCTACTACATCAGCTTCGAGCGGTTTCATGGGTGATGCCTGGGCCGCGCCGCCAGCGCCAGCATCGGTTTCGCCATCGACCCCCATGGCGGTGGCAAGCTCGAAATCTGCGACATCGAGTAGCGTTGTGTCCTGGGATGGCTCTACTCCGACACTGCGGCCAGAAGACATCAACGCGTGCGCCATCAACGGCCGCCTTCTATGCGAGTTGGCCACGTCCCGCACGGCGTGTGTGTGACCCGCCGTACGTCTGAGAAGCATTGTGCCTGGCCCAAATGGCACGGACGGGCCGATTTCTCAGACTTGCACTACGCCTTGCGGTTTGGCGCCGAGAAGCGATGGGGGATCGTAAATGGACAGCCCAGCGCTGGCGTTGATGCGAAGCCGAGTTTGTCAGGCAAGCCGAGCCGTGTGCGCGCGTGAGTGAAGCGCACTCGCTTGGAGTTGCCATGCGCAACAGACTCGCGTTAGTCCGCAAATGGGTGGTCCGACGCCTGGCCAAAGATATACACGTAACTCCGCATAGGCAAGTACAGTGGTTGTGACCGCCAGCTGCAGCCATCGCTTGCTTGTTGTTTTGGGGCCCTGGGGCGCGCTCTGCTTATTCAGAGGTGATGGCGATCACCCGCCATCCTTGCGTGTTGAGTGCTGGGGAGCTCTGCCGAGCTCATTGCGAGATTGAGACCGCTATCTTACTGTGAGAATTTAGCCCATTACAGGCGTGTGCAGCTCATCCAGTAATAGCCCGAGAGTTACTGATTGCATGCCGTATCAACCGTTTTCTGTTTGCTTGAACCCTGTGCGCACTGTAGCGAGCGTGAGTCAAGTGATCGACGCCTTCCCGGCAGCCGCGAGCGCCTACTGCTAGTCTGGGATCCGGCGCAGCAGCGATTCCATAGGCTTGGTGACTCGTGGGGGCCGGCGACCCTGCGGTCTGGAGGACGGGCGGCGCCCTGGCGCCCCGACCCAGCGGCGCAGCAGTTTGCCCGCGGGGAACCCGCGAGCGGGTGGCCTGGCGGCGGAGGCCTGCATGGGGATTCGGCCATCAGCAAGGCCGCCAGGGCGTCCTGGCGGCCATGCAGCCCAGCGACCTCGTGACCGTGGCACTCCGACTTGGGCAGCAGCAGGTCGGCGATCGACTTTCGATTTATACCCGTGCTGCTGCCCCCCATTCTGGGCGCCAGGTGCAGCTGGATATTGATAAAATACGTGGCCTCGCAGGCCCCTCGCGGGGCTCGCAGCGTGAGCGGGGGCGTGGATAAGATGTCGAGCGCCTAGCAGGGGCAAAGGTGATACCACCATGCGCACCCCTCCCAATGAGTGGAGTTCCGAGCCGACAACGCCTGCCCACCGCCGCTGCCGCCTGTCCCGCTGCCCGGGCGGGCGCTGCTGCCCCGATGCCCGCCGCCGCCGCCGGCGGAGCGCCGCGACGCCTAGGGGGGCGCGCCAGCGGTCGCGGACGTGGGAGCTGCGGCCGCCAGTCCAGTGCATGCGGCTCTTCGACCACTCGCTGCCTTCTCTCGCTGCTCGGTCGTCGGGCAGGGTTTGCCGTGGCGACCCTCGTCGCCACTTCCCCCGCTTGCCCCTGCAGCCGCCGGCCGAGTTGGCTCGACGGCCTTCGACCGCGCCGAGCGTGTGCCCCTGAACATCGTTCTGCGCTGCGAAAGAGGTCGAGGGCGCGCTCGCTGCGTGCCCATCCCGCGCGGCGTGCGGGTGCCCTCCCGGAGGGCAGCGCCCGCCAGGGCGCGGAGTTGCCCTCCTGGTCGCCCGTGCGTGTCACCTGGTCGCGGGCGATGCCGCGGCCGCCGTGCGTCGACGCAGGTGGGTCCGCGCAGCCTGCTGCCGCGCATCCTGCCGCAGCGAGGCAGCCTCCCGCACGCCGCCGAGGTCGCTGCCAGAGCCGCGCTGGCCCCAGTGGCTGTGGCGGCCTGCGCCCTCGCTGTCGCGGTGACGGTCGGCGGCCCGCTCCAGCTCGGTCTGCGCTCGGGCCGCCGGTCTGCCTGCCACGTCCGCGCCCCAGCGCCGACCCTCTGGCGCCTGAGGTGGGCGCCTCGGGGGCTTCAGCCTAGGCCCGAGCCCGCCGCGCGTGCAGGCGCGACAACCTGAGCCCGCGCGTGCGCGGTGCCGCTTTTGTCCTTTGGCCGGGGCCTGCGCCCTCGCGGCACCCGTCTGCGCGAGGTCGCTTCGCCCGCCGCGCCTGTGTAGCTGCAGACGTGCGCAGCGGCACATTGTGCAGCGCCAGACTTTGTAGCGACGGACCTGACACTGAGGGCCACAGGGTCCACCCCCCAGACATCCAATGCCGTCCGTTTCTAAATGCCGTCCGTGTCCTTGGAGGTCTGGACCTGTTCCCCAGGGCGGGCTCTTCATCGTGAATCGTGTTTTGACGTTCCAGAGCCTGGCGAGGGCCTCCAGAGGCCGAAAACTGAGAAACATTTCCGCGCGGAGTTTCTCGAGTCTTTGGAGGTCTGGGACTGTGCACTGCGCAGTGGGTCCTGGGGTCCACTGTGCAGTGCGCAGCGGGGGGTCCTCGGGCGGGTTGGCTGCAGGCCCTCCCAGCCGCCGCACCCTGCTCGGGGGCCGTCGGGGCGGTGCCCGCGCACTTGCTGCTAGGCGCCGCCAATACCTGCGCGCCTCCTGCGTGGACGTCCCTTTCAGAGATGGGAATTAATTATCCCCGTGCTCGAAACCCTCGCCAAGCATTGTGTTATTCTTTGGGGTTCATCGGCGCGCCCTGGAAGATCTTTCCTTCCACATTGGCCCCCATGGGTCTTGCGTTGGAGTCGCCCGTCTGGTGCCCCGTCAGGCGCGACGCAGTGCGAACTCGCCGCCGCCCCGACGCACCGCGCCAGCTCCCTCCAGTGCTTCGTGAGTTGGCAGCAACGCTGCTTGTCCTCTGATTCCCGTCGTAGTGAACAAATCAGGGCGGAGGTTTTCCACTGTTTCTGGCATCTCGGGGCCCTTCCCAGGCCCCGGTGGCGTCACAGAACAACCCAGGATGAAAGGCGGGCACTGGGGAAAGGGTCGGTGAGTCCCCCGCGAGAAGGCGCCGCTGCCTGGCGTACCATGTTCGTCAGCGAATCATGGGAGCGTTGTGTGTCCTCGTAACTCAGTGCGCGGTAGCGTCTGGTAATCGATGAGAAGCGCCGGTTCAGCGTCGATTTAGTGTGGGTAAGCGCCGCTTGGCGTCGATCGGCGCCGGTCAGCGTCGGTTGCGTCGATTCGCAAGTGCCAGCAAGATGGTATGGGAGGCTCCTATGAGTTGCCACCGAACTCGGATCTGTGGGTCCCCGGCCAGAAGGCGCCTCTGCCTGGCGTGCCCTGGGGGCGTCCCCTCCCGCTCTCCGGGCGAGCCGCCCGTCCTGCCGCCGTCGCGTGTCCCCCGCCCCCCATGGCGGCCCTGTGAGCGCGGGCTGGTGTGCCCGCGTCTCGAAGGACCCGCGTACGGTAGGTTCGCCTCGTGTCGACCGCCGACGATCCGGAATCCGTCGATGCTGAAAGATCTGACGTTTCGGACACGGCCGATCGTTCAAGGTTGAAAAAAATCTCCGCGGTGTCAGAAACCAACGCCGAAGTCGGCACGACACGAACCAGTCGTAGGCCAGATCGTGCCAGAGGCTCCTCCCAACACGCCCCAAACCGCCCTATGCTCCCGTCGTGAGCAAGAACACGATGGGTCCCCCGCCCGGCTGTTCGCCAGCGTGGCATTGCGGGCCACCGCAGCTCTGACCCGTGCGTCAGCGCATCAGGCAAATTGCGGGCTGCCCTCTCGACGAAAGGAAGGCTCCACAGTGCAGCCTGGCTAAGGAGGAGGAGGAGGAGGAGGAGGAGGAGGAGGAGGAGGAGGAGGAGAAGGAGGAGGAGGAGAAGAGCAATAACGACGACACAGGTCACGTTGCTGCCAGCCCATTAGGGCGTAGCGTCCCGAATGCGGTCAGTGCGCGCCGCGTTGACGCGGCAAAGACCCCAGCGCGGGCGTTCAAGATTGAACACCGCCGGTGGCCCAGAATCGGCCGACATCTGCCGGCCTGCGCTATCGAAAAGCCGCGATCTCTCAAGGTGGAAGGACACACGCGGGATCAGAAACCAACGTCGACGTCGTCGCGACACTAACCATTTGTACCCGCGTAGGTGAGATCGTGCGTTCGTTGCCGCCGTGCTCTTATGTATCTTCCCTTTTCCCGTCCTCCTCCCTCTCTCATCCCCTCTCGCCTGCCCTCTGCCCGCAGTCTCATCTCCCTCTCCCCCATTACCTCATCCCGCAGGATCAGTGCTATATGATGGTGCCGATGGAG